AGTGATAGATGTTCAGTTGGATTACATTTATGGGCTGCCCCAAATATTCTTGGCTCTTTTTGACCAGTTTTTTTCCTTTCACTGTGTTCTCACGAAAGGACACACCAGTCAGCCACATTTCATATTGCGTGAGCTTAGCCTGTAGGGTTAGTTTATAGTTTTTGACTGCTATGCTAACCCAGAAAATTACATTAATTTGATAAACCACAATTAAACTAAGTTTACCATGGTTAAATATACTGTGCAGACACAGCTTTTGGAAAGTAACTAAAATCAAGGAAGGCTAGAATGAAAAGGCATTTTGACCAAATGATGATTCTAAGAGAAATTATTTTTGCATAGCAGCTCCTAAAATGGAGGCATATCTAGGTTCTAAGTGGTCTATCGAAACAAGGAATCTAAATATTTCCCATATTTGTGTTTTTGTTCAATATACTCATTTTGAAACAAATTACCATTCCTATGTTGCAACAATATATAAACAATGACTTCTCAAAAAAATTCCATATTGACATTTATAGAGGTACCAACAGGCTTTATGTTATACCTGAAGGATGTGATAGCCTTGCAGCTCTGCATATGTTCAACCCCACAGTTTTGAATAAGCCTTTTTCCTGATTAAGTGTAGCTTTAATGTATCTCTCCCCCTGCCCCGTTACCTATAGTATTTTGTTGTTTTAATTTTAATAAATGTTTTTACATGAAATGATATTTCCTTAGTAGCTCATTTTACATTTTTTACATCATTCCTACATTTCATTTAGATGTTTTTTACAGGATTGTTCATATGCTATTTCAATGAAATATATTGTTCTTATGTATATATTATTACATAATTATTACATAAATAAATATTATTTAGGATTTCCAAGGTTTTAATTTTAGAGGTCATATTCTCTTAATTCTGGCTTGTCATTGTTAGCATGTCATTGTTGATACTGTAACATAAACAGAACATCAAACAGACAGCATTCATAAGAAGCAGCATTTATAAAACCATTCTTTTAGCTGTATCCACTTCTACGTTCCTTAAATTTTCATGTTATTGACTACATTTTTTTAGGCAGTCTTTGATTTTATGGTTTAAATTGTCGCGTATATCTCTTGGGAAAGCCTTACGAAAATTGAAAGAAATAATGAATAATGACAATGGCTTATACATAAAATTAAATAAATGCAATCCAATATATCACATATAAAAATAAAAAGGAAACACAAATGAATAGCTACTTTTGTTCTTCTTGTGCTTTGTGATAAACTTGGTAGGCTTCAAGAGAAAATTTCATATTCTCTTATGCTTTCCCCTGGTTTTACAGTATTCTCAGAATCTAACATTCAGTAAAGATGAAAACTTATGCACACATACTGTATATTAGCAAAGTAGCAAGAAACAACTGGCCTTTTTCATCCTGAAAGCATCCAGCTGTGTTAGATTACTCTACATGTTTTAAATCAGGAAGTGTCTGATAGCATTTTTTCTTATTAACAAATGTTTAGAAAAGGTGACACTAGACTCCTTTTGATTTTTTGCTTCCATATCCTAACATAGCTCTACTAGAATATCTATATGTTTGAAAATTTTGGTAATGATACTGATCTGATAATTGTAATGACTTTCATCAGTTTTCCAGCAGCACATGTTAAACCTAACTGGCTTGTAATTCTCTAGTTTTTTCTCTACCTCTGGAGTGTCTTTTAAAAAAAACATGTTAGATTGGTGACTTTCTAATTCACTG